TACGCTACTGTAGCTTCCGCTGTATAATTTTCGGTTCTTATAGAATTATGTTGTGAATTAAGACCACGCCTGTTCTGATGGTTTGACATAGTGGTGGATGTTTGACTCAAAACAGATACAGAACTATCGAATCCATATGGACATGTGTCGTTCTCGTCGATAGCTTTTCTCTTCAATTCACGTCTTTGACAGGCTTCGTGAAACTGGAAAACACCCTTGTCACAAACTATCCTATTCTGTTCGATGATTCCATCAAATAATGTTGGAAGAAGAGTCTTCTTGTCTTCTAAGACAGAGAAACCACTTTTACTTACACGAGTAGGATGTGACCGATAGCGATGTGTTTCAGGACCCGAAGTGAGGTCTAATGACTTGCTTTCCGACACATTTATCCTTATTCTTTTAGTTCGAGATGTTCCCGATGCAGAATCATTCCTACTACTACATGAATACTGCAGATCAAATTTACTAGGGATTTTATTTGTGGATAGTGTACCTTGCTCTTTACAGAATTTTAAGACATACTGAGTTGCTTTTCGTAACTTGTTGACGGGTGTCCATTCTACAACGCGATCCCAAATATAACGTAGGCGATAGTCTGATCTTGCACCATGTCGCTGACGATGGGCTAGAACCTCAGTAAGATATTCGAAGTCGTTGCGCCACGCAACCATTACATAACTACCCACCTCATTAATTGCACCCATTCTCAAAGTTCGTGAGTCAACTAGAGCAGCAGGCATCTGTAACCAAATGAGAGTATTAATCAACTGTCTGCCTTTATACACTAAACGTACTACTATCCGTGACCTGCAGGGAGTTTCGTTATTCTCTTCAGCACTGTTGTTATGTATATCATTTAACTGGAAATGAAAAGGTCCAAAATTATTCCACTTCTGTTTATTAGCATCGGAATTATGAGCTCGGCAGTGCTGTCAAATAACTGGCATTTCTCTTTCACCAGCAACTAGGTTGACTTCCACTAAAGCTAACGTTTCTTTCCGCTTATCTTCAACTACTTTCTTAGCAGAATCTTTTAGACTTTTCAAATCCATACAGTCTATCTGAGAAGCTGTAACTACTTTAGCCAATGTAGTAAAAGGACATGAAGCTGAATCATGACTTGTAGATGATGATGTTCATAAATCGACCAAAGCATCTTTCACCACATCAGCATTCACAACGCGTGACGAAATATTTGATCCGAAAACATAATCAGACGGAATGTCTTTCTTAGCTATAGCAGGACTCAAGAGAACGGTAGGCGACTTAGTTAATTCTTTTGATGCTTCGAGTGATGCAACAGAAGCCTCTGTGAGAGAAACAGGATGATTAGAAAGAGAACTAGAAAAATCCTGATCTATCGATTTAGTCTGAGGGAGGTTTGTTCCATTCAGGTTTATCTCAATTTCATCACGTTCATTGTTACTTTCCATAACAAACAAATTTGATTTCTTCTCGGCATAATCTCTTTCTATATATCGTGTCTTAGCGTTCACATAGCCTTGGAACAGCTTCGCATCCCTAACAAGTCTACCTCTTAAACAGCTGAGTCTATGTTCTGTTAATTTTTTATTATTAGGTAACTTGTGTACGTGCCTCCAAGGCAGAGCTATTTAGTAGTGTCCATTTAACTTCTGCAATGTGCTTGATATAGCGTTGAATGCAATACGATCTTCCACAGACACAGATGGTGTGTGACTAAATGGATCTTTGAATTCAGTTGAGTACAACTGCTCAAACTTATCTTCTAGTTCATCCTTAGCCAAGAGGTGATTACGTACACGGTTGTTATCACTGAATTCCCCGTTAGGACCGAACAGTGTCCAACCTAATAAAGTCTTCACAGAAGACGGTTCATTTGTCTTTCCAGTTCTCATCTCCTTCGTCTTGTGTACTCTCGGTACAGTACACCCGATCAACAGTTCGACATTCTCATCTTCTACTCTCGGAAGACTTACGTCCTTTAAATGGGACCAGGATGCCGTTTGACGCGCCGCTGGCACAGTTATGTGAACTGCCGGTAGTTTTCTGAATGTCAATACTTTCTGGATATAACGGATGATGAGAAGTCTATCGAGTGCAACTCTACATCTACCTCTCTCGATATCAATGACGATTCGTTACTAATGGTCTTTAGAGATACCGTTCTCGGCTTTCCTTCGAGGCCTAACTTATCAGCTAGATCTTCAACTATGAGAGAGGTGTCTGATCCACTATCTAGAAAGGCGCACGTCTGAATAATTCTCTCACCGCTTTTTTATCCATACTTGAACTAATGCAAATGCCACCGGCATCTGTATGCACTTAACGTCTTCCTCTGTGCAAATCTGAGAATTAATGTAGGCATCACTAATAGTATCTCTTCGTTCTATCCGCTTCTCATGTAACAGAGTATGGTGTCTTCAGCCACATCCTTCAACAACACACGACCTTGGCCATCGACAATTTTTGCTATATGGTTCTCTTTCAGACAAACATTACATAACTTATGCTTAAAGACGAATTCTTTCCTTTCTTTAACATTTTTGTCTTTAAACTTCTGGCATTGATCTAAGGGATGATTGTGTGAGCAATCTGGACAAGGCGAACTATGTAAGGAGGTATTGCCATCATTAATGCTTGCATGTGCTACCGTTGCTATGTTGTAAATTGCGACAGCCTTCCCTTTCAAAACACCAAAATCTCTTTTGTCGACATTATCGCTGCGGTTGACAAGTAGGCCGTACCTAGTATTAGCTATATCTGACTGTTCTTTTACAAATTCACAGAGGTCGTTAAATAAAGGCTCCCTATCCGTCTTGAGAATTCGACACTCTACTTTAACCCATTCTCTCTGTAGGTATGGTGGAAGTTTTAAAAACATGCTTTCGATGATTTTCGTTGAATTAAAATCGGATAGGTAGTTCATTTGTGTGAGCGTAAGGTCACAGATATACATCTCATAAGCCAGCCTTCTTAAACTATTTGGGTCGGTCTCCTTAATAGCAGGGATGTTCAACATCTTGCAGATAAATGTACAGGCAACTACGTGCTTCTGACCGAATGCTTAATCAAGAAGCTCTAACGCTTTACGATAACCTTCTTCCGGATCAAGCAATGTACAATGAACGATGGTAGCCTTTGATTCACCATCACAATATTGAATCAAGTAGTTTAACTTAGATCGAGGTCCGACGCTTTCATCAAAAAAATCCTTGAAATTTCGTATGAAACTCCAGTAGTTCATAGGATTACCACCGAACCTTATGATTTCTCGCTTGAGTAGGTCTAAAGCTTTAGATAACATTCCTACCCAGTCCCTTGCTGCGTTTTTATCAACTGTACGTGAAACGGATGTAGATTCGTACGTCATAACCTTTTCATCCTGCATTTGGTTACAATATTCTCTTTCTCTTTGCCGTAACCTTTCTAACTCAATTTCCTTTTCTATATGAGGTAAACGTACTTTAGCTAATTCTAATTCTAACAAAGGATCCATTCGGAAGCTATTTCTTCCAGACTATGAGTTTCTGAGTAGTGTGTAGACAAATCAGGAATCTGATCAGCCTTATGATCCTCCGTAGACATATGAAGGTACTCAGTATATGAATTTCTGATGAGCTACTGGCCGAAACTGTGTAGGATTTAATTTTTCCTACAGATGTAATTCTAAAACAGTAAAGGCAATACTGCCACTGACAGAATCAATGGTAAAGCTTTAGTCAGAACAAGAAAGCTTGGTTTTAAACTTTAACTGTTTCTAAACAAAAAAACGATTAAATTAGTACAATAAATAAGAAAAATTACAATTATCAAGTAATATGAGCAAACGTACCGACCAGTATAGCGTGTCTTTAGAATATGAATAAAAATAATGACATAATTTAATCGATAAGTCATTCACAACAAAGAAAGTTTACAGACCGGTCAGACTAGGTAACATGGTGAGCGCTTAACCAATCTGATTGGTTAGTTATGGCATGACTACAATTAGTTATAAAATAACTAACAGCTTGTCTAGCACAGCTTACTCGCTTGTGATCTATTGCAGGTACATAAAAAAATTTCCGTGAAGCATCAAAAGAATGGTAAGTTTTAGTTTTATTCAGTGAATTTCCTGTCAAAGTGGGTTCGGAATCCTTTCTTACATGTCACGTACTTAAAAATCCTTTAATACCGACACGTCATATTTAGTAATCTACGTCTATCTTAAACGCGAAATGTGGTAAGTCGTTGACGGTGAGTCCCATGAGAAATACTCACAACTGACGCCTGCATGAATAATTATTTTAGGAATAAACCCAATTTACTTTCAAAATGACGAACATGGCATTATCTTAGCTTAATCCTCTACTTTGACAACATCAGTCATTACAAAATTTGCTTTTCTCCAGGATCTGGGAGTGACTTGAGATAACATTACATAAGACGCAACATTTTCTGGCCAGAGGCCTGATTCCGACTTTTAGGAACATTTAATTGTGCAGACGAAATTTTAATTTCCATTTATTATACTTGAGCCAATCCCGTTTGCATTATGACGGTGATTAGAAGCCAAATATGGATACATTTAATACATTCGCGAAGGCAGTTATATCTAATAATGAGAAATAAAAAACTGAAGCGAAGCAGAAGTGGTGAGTAAACCAACTCAATGAAATGAAGCACCTCTATGTTCGGCAAAAACAGGCCAGACATGTGGTGTGCAAAGTAAGCATAGCACATACGTTCTCAAGTAGAAAAAACCATAGTCATAAAATAATAATTGATAAAATCGAAAGATGTGTGAATAAAGACTCGAGAAGTATAGGTTAACAAGGCTGTCCAAAAACTAGGATGATTCGTGCAGAAGTGACGTATTTGTACACACTTTAAGCCTTTCCTAAAAATAAAATTTATCTTTTTCGAATTCCAATCTTTCTCTCATGAAAACCTAACTGATCTAAACGCTTAACTGGAGCAATAATGCTGCCACAATGGCAAACAGAGTTATTTGGAGTGAGGTTATTAAAGGTTCAATACTGTGCGTTCGGCAGAACTAACGTACGTGGATGAACCCGTCAGGTTCAGGCGCAAAGTTCACCCGTGGTAATATATCTGTAGTTTTCACTTAGTAATGTTAAGACTGTTTATCAACTTTGATTGCATAATTGCTTTTACCGTGAATCGATGCTTAACTGCACACTGCTTTTGCCGACTAAAATGTGCATAAAGGCCATCTGCATAATAGTCTACTACCTAGTCTACACTGATAAAACTTACAATTTGCAATGGCTCACGGTGGCTAAGTAGAACTGTCGCTACGAAAAGATGAACACAGCATGTGCGTTGATATGCATCGACGCGATTGTGATTGCTAGACCAATTCTCGACAATCGAGTCAATGGGCTCATACGGTATGTGAAAATCATTAGCAAGAAGGCGAGATCGTCTACTTTTCCAGTGTTACTCATTTATTAAAGTACTCAACCTGATTCTCGTTATAATCGTTTATAGAAACTACTGCATAAGCTAAACATCCTGCTATATATGCTAGATATGGACTGTCATCGGAATACTATCAAAGTAAGTGAGAAAAAGTACAGAACCGCCGGCCCTTGACTGTTATTCTGAATTTGTAGTAGTTCTATTTGGTGAAGACTCTAACGAAATGTAGGCTTCCGATCCCCTAAAGAACAATGCAACCATGTTCGGGATGCGATTCTTTTCTTCCAAATGCAGAACGTCACTTCATGATTAGCTTACATCTACATCTGAACTAGTGATACAGAATGAAGTAGTTGAGCGTGTTGGCAGCTTCACTTATATCGGGAGTCTCATCGGTGCTCATGGCATGGTATATGACGCAGTCTCAGCACGGATACAGAAGGCTCGATTGTCTTTTGCCAACCTGCGTCGCTTATGGCCTAGGAGAGATATCCGTTTGTTGACTAAGGGACAAGTGTACTGCGCAGCAGTTCGCTCCTTTCTGCTAAACGGATGTAAAAGACTATTAAAACTACAGAGTAAGTACCTTCGAAACATTGCTCATACATTCTGTGACCACTGAGTATACGTTGCCGAGGTTAGGAAGAGTACTAGGTAAGAATGGCAAATCAATGAAAGGAATAGTGAATCTTCGTCATTTGCGGCGGTTGGGACGTGTTATGCATGCCTAACTACTGGCTACTTTGACGAGCGATGTTGCTTGATGTAGGGGTAGGCTGGAAGAAAGCTAAGGCACGAACGACTGGACTTAGCCATGTCAGTAGGTTCAGATTATCTGGTTGGGTCTGTGAGACAATAGAAACCGATAACAAACTTTTGGATAACATTGCTCAAAGTCGTTTGCAGTGGCGCAGATTCACTCGTTCTTTGTCTTTCAAGTTCTAATCTGAATTCCTAAAGACCGTCTCTCCTCGTTCTAAATTTACCCTACTGGGTTATACTTCTTGAATCATATCTTTGAACTCTAATCTCCTCAACTATTAATATTCCCACTACTATGGGATTTGAATTGACAATTCGATTTCTCTGTATGGCAACTTAAACTGATGTGCGTATGAACAGAGTTGTACGTTGTAGCTGGCTGCAGTTATTTCGAGGTTGCGATCCGTTATGGTGCTGTGTATAATCTAGTGTTACTTGTGTTTGCAAATAAATGACAAATTACTACGTTTACATCAGTGGGTTTACTTGGAAATAACTGATTACTGACGGTCAGTTTTTACAAACAATACGAATGTCTAGTTGTTACGGTAATGGACAAAGTAACCTGATAATATTGACAAGAAGTACACTTCGTTTGCGTCTAATTATCCGAGGGAACTTTAATGTTAATCCTAGTTCACTAAAAATAGAATATGTATTGTCTTTCAGATGTCGAACATGATACGGTATGAGATGTCTCTGATCATTAAAGCTCTTGATACTCTTGGTATAAAAGCTGCTTTGAAAAGGCATCTCAAAGGTATGCTCGAGAATGGGGCTCATTTATTCAATGTCGAGAATCTTGGCATGCGACGCCTTCCCAATGTATACCATGTTCAAGGAGAAAGGCAATACGAAGGGCACTATTTTCTCATTAATTTCAATGCACCGCCTGATTCACTTAATCAGATGCGAGTAAGTGATGTTAGGTTTCTAATTAGTTTATATTTTAGAAAATGGCGAATAAAGACTCAGATGTCATCAAGTGTTTCGCTAGCCTTAAAGATGATGGTTGGGTCCCACCGTGTTCATTGCCGAATGCGCCCATCTGTGAATTCGGCGAAATTAGGAATCCGAATTATGAAAAAACTGCTAGACGACGATACGGTTATCGAATGTATTAAAAGGCAGTAACTATTATGTATATAATAAGAAAAAGTTCGTAATCCAATACTTGTTTCCTTGTGGATTATCTGCTTTTGGGATGTGTCCCAGAAAACATTTTTTAACAACACTACACGGTGTATAATTCCATTATGCCATACCATTTAACAAGACCAACTTGTTTTCGAGGTTACTGTATATTTTGATAAAAATTACATATTGGCTAACATGAATAACATTCTCCAACTACCAAAGCAGATGAACAGTCACAATGTTGTGCACATCTGTCTCGTTTTACGAACTGCTACAGCTACTTCTCAGCTCCATTGAATGCTGTTTACTACCACAAAAACGTTGAGCCTGTTTATATCCAGACCACCTGCGCTGGTTGTCGTTTTCAGAGCACACTGTGACGCGTCACAAAGTGTATGCTATTTTTCATTTGTATACAATGGGCGCGTTTTAGAGTCAAAGCATAAACCTATAAATAGGGATTCTAGAGATATATTTCACTCGACATAAGGCTTCAACCCTAAAAACTCTGAAGGTCAAGAGTACGTTTTGCAAGACTGAGTCAATGGCACTAACTACGAGTAGAGAAAATAGAACTTAGGAGAATTCCGAAATGGGATATGTTTACTAGTGATGAAAAAAATGTTGAGCTAAACATTTCTTAGTTATTGACACTATCGAAAGGTATTTTTTTTACATAAAACTTGGGAAACTAATAGTATTGGTAGTTCCAATGACTTAAAAGCATGATCAGAGGACGTGATGTATCACAGGTTGGTGTTCGTATGACGGCTTTCTTGTAGGGAATTGCTTTTGTGGTTTACGGTTCGCGCTTTTAAGATCTTAGTTACCAAATATTCATGGACGAGAGATGTGCCATCTTTAAGGTAGATCCTTTATAACCTCATTTTATGGGAATCTTACTATGATTGTTATCCCTAGGAACTCACATCTGCCATAACCAGGCACAGTTAACAGTACGGTCCCACCTCTTAACCTAGGGTTAGTTTTGTTTGGTCTCCGCTTTCTAGCTGACCTGTCAAGCGTAATGGGTCAATCAACAACAATATGGAACTTCGTACGTACGTACACCAGTTCAAGTTGACATACCACATAATATCAGAGATGCAATAGTCACTTCGAATCTCATAGTAGTAGTTGTTAGCGGTAATCGGAAATTTTAGGTTTCGACGATATTATTTAAGAAGGAGGATTTAGTGAAATAAACTTAAAACCAAAAGATAAAGGTAATGAGGGATTCAAAAGGTTAGGATTTGAGAGAACGCAAAGACCGGATTCACTCAGCCATTGCGAACGATTTTGAGCCATGTCACCCAGAGTTTGTAACCATCGATTACTATGATCCCGCGCACCCCAACCAGGTAGTCGACACATACCGACATGACTCAGTCCAGTTATCAGTGAATCTATGTATTTCTGCCATGTTTTGGTTTGGCCGCCCCTTCTTCTAACCAACTCCTACACCACAAAACATAGCTCGTCGAGGCAGTCAGGCATTCGTAACACGTATCCAACCACCACAACTGATAAGATTTCACAACTTCCAGTCAACCTTACTCCTAAAACTGGACCACCATCAAAAATCTCAGGAGTAGTTAGACTATCACGACACGCTGCCCTCTCTCGCTTCAGATTCGTTATAGCTTCTTCAACTTCGTTTACAGTCGGATGACCTACGTCGATTTGCCATTCGGATTGACTCATGATCGTGAGCAAATAAGGTGTGGCTGAAAGCCAATTGAACTGATTCCTCAAGTGTTCTGCTCATCGATCACATCTCCTGGATTGAGATTGAAAAATAATACCATCTTTTTCCGAAACAGTTTCACTTACATTGGGGTTACTAATACCGGTTTCCCTGATAAGTCTGAATAGTTACCTACTGTTACCTATCGACGCTGCCTTTTCCATCTCTCTTGCTTTCGCCACTCACCACTGTTCAACATCATTGCGTAGGTTTTTTATCAGCCTGCGCTTAAGCTGACTTCGCTCTTCTTTATGTTCCGAGCGTCTATCAGTTCGGTAGATGCTACTGAGATCTACGGCTTCTTATTAACCTTATGATTTACCTTATAGATACCACTGCTGTTTTTACAGCCTTTTGGATATCATTCCAAGCTGCCTCCGAATGGGAATCACTTACATGGCTGCCTAACTTTTTTTCTAATTGTTCCTGAAATATATCCTTAGCTATGCTATTATTAGATAGAATCCTAAGAGGTTTTCTGGCTGTTTTTAAACGTAATGGGACCCAAGAAACAAGTACTCCAGAGACTGCGGCTCGATTGAATTGTCGGTATATGAAACATAGAGCTTTATTAGGGTACGAGCTCCTAATGGCAACAAAAACGACATTGCGAACGTCTTGATTTCTTACTAGTTCTACGGATAGACAGTATACGGTACTCCCTTGATATAGCAATAAACGTGAGGATATGCAGTATGCAATGTGCGAATCTGATCAGTGAACACGATTTACATGATTTTAGCTGTATTTACACTATGCCACTCAGTTCCACAAAAATTTCTAAGCGTAGATAAGCCAAGTGCCTTTCCTTGTAATGTCTGAGACGTTGCTCCAACAATCTGAAAAGAATAATGCGAGAAACATAATTTAGATAAATCACTGCAATTCATTCAGAACTATGAAAATCTATGTAACCTTAACATGCAATCTATGGTATCTGGTTCTTAGTGTGCATACTCGAGAATATCTAAAATTGCAATGAGTGAAATAATAGTTAAATTCTACCTTTAAAAATCAGGTAGACAAATTTCGTTTGCAACATTCAATGAACGAGCATTGTGAAACGAAAGGTAGGGCTAAAAACTAAAGATAAGCGTTCGTGTCTGATTTGACTATCTTCGCAGTCTCATAGTTTTGGCATTGGCAATTTTTTCCACAAGTTATTTTGAAAGTGTCCATGTGTATACATATGTTTATGCACAGATTACCGACCGTAGCCGCTACCTAGACACGGTGGTCGGGCTTGCCTATCGTGATGACCCAACCTAGCCATATTAGCTGTAACCTATGTTTCTGTAAGTCCTAGTATGCCAGGCAGGTCGATTAGAGAACGGTAAGACTAAAAGTAGCAACTTGAAATCTGAGGACGAGGTCGAACTGTTGACTGTAGAGGGGTGTAACGGCAATAAGGTATTTCCCTCGGACAGCCTGTAGTCGCAACGATGCTGCCTCGTCATAGCGGGAGGAAGGAGTTAGAAGAGGTCGGCTCTAAAAATGTCACACCACCTTATTCAATGGAATTTCGTCTCCGGTGGTAAAGTCTTTTGAAGAACGGAACTAATACTCGTAAACCTCATTTAAAGATCGTGCGCGACCGACCCGAAGCAGTTATCCCTTAGGCTCTGCGGTCACGCTGCCAGGTTTCCAAGACTAACACTAATCCAATTTCCTTTTCAGGTCCTTCAAGAAACACCCGCAGTGTGGGCAACCGGGAAGTGATATCCGCCCTCACCCGTAGCAACACACGAGGCCTAAGTGGTCATGATCAAAAAGTTGTGCAGATTGTTTGATAACAAACCCTCCCGAACCGTGTGTAAATCAGCTTGTTTACTTGTAACTGAAGTGTGAAATATGAAGCCTGAGGCAACGAGGAACTTCCTAGATGTAAGAATGCTAACTTCAGGGTAATCAAATCGAAGTATATCAGGGCTTCATGAAACAAGTCACCCAGGATACTACAGTATTGTTGATGGATTAAATCGCAGATAGTAAGGTTGTTTGTTGTACCTTGCGGTAGAACTAATATGAAAAGTATATATACATACAATCTTTATTTTTTAGCGCCAGACTGACTTGCGAATCGTTCGTTTTTTCTGACTGAATCATTTCAAATAAACTATTTATATTCAAGTTTAAATCCGCTGTAGTTTAAAGCTATAATTGTGACCCATCCTCTCAATACCATTATTAATAGCATGTAACGAGATAAAATTATTTACAAACCTCAACAACTACATAATCACCAGGTTTGAAGAATGTAGGCAAAGATTTCTGATTTACAGCAGTTGATGTTAGTGTAGCCTCTTTGTCGAAAATTACCTTGGTATTGTAATCATTACGTCCAAACACTTGTGATGGTGAACGACGACTAAGCTAAAATGAGTAAGTTGTAAGATGGGAAATTCTTAATAATTATACATAAC